CGGCTCAGCTCCAGGCTGCTCAGGGCTTTGGCGTAGAGCCGAGCCTCTGGGGCCGCCGGGTCCTTCAGCATCTCCCCACACATGCGGACGGCCAGGTAGTCGTGGACGCACACCTCCTGAGGGGGGGGGGGGGGGCACGTCAGGCCAAATTATCCATGACATCGCGGCGGTTTAAACGGCGCTGGCGTGGCGCCGCTTACCTCGGTGTTGGAGGGGGGTCTGATGAGTGCGCTCTGGCGGGTCAGCTCCACGATGAGCTCCACCACGTTACCGATGTCCACCTCGGCCAGGGGGGAGGTGGCCGGGGCGTTCACCAGCGTCCGGATTGTTGGCAGGAAGCTCTCCTCCACGACCTCCTGGTGGGCTCTGATGCGCACAAAAAGGGGGTAGACCGTCAGTTCGGGGGGCGTGGCCTCCGGGCCGGTGTGGCTGACCGGTCGGTGCGTGCGGCGTGGGGGACCTGCTCTCGCGGGCGTAGAGCTGGAAGAAGACGCCGAGGCAGTGGCGCAGGCGCGTGTCGTCCTCGGTGACGGGGTTGTACCACAGCAGGATCAGGCGCGACAGCATTTTGGCGCTGGAGATGCGGCCCGTGTACATGAGTCTGGCCAGGCCCTCCGCCGCCTCCGTCCGCAGATCCGACACCTGAGATGGACGCCGCCTTTAGAATCCCCCCCCGCCAAAACCCCGACAGCCCGGCGCATTCTAGACGCCCCCGCCTCACCTCGCTGTCCAGGAACTCGGACAGCATCAGCAGGACGCTCTGCGCGGTGTCCTCCGGCTTGCCCTCGGCCGGAGCCGCGTCCTGCTTCTCGGCCGACGGGCTGGGATTGGCCGTCTGAGTGGACGTGCTGTCAGACAGGAGCTGGAAGCCAAAGAGCAGCAACAGGTCCACGACGGCCCGCAGAGCGCTGATCCGGATCTTCACCTCATCCAGCTGGGCGATCTGGAAATCGGAGCAGAGTCAGACTCTTTAAGTTGTTTTGGGGTTTTTTCAGGCTCTCAGAAAACACCTGCAGAGGACCCTGTTTCTACTGACTAAAAGGAGAGGTTTGTATTCGGCTTACATGAATTACCAGCAGCTATGATGCTGAACCTTTTCTTTTTTAATCTGAAAGTAGTTCAGAGTGACTAACAAATGGAATGCGGAGGAGGAATGAAAAGGAAAAGAGTTTCAGACATTTGAAACATGTGCGTGAGGTCACCTGCAGCAGCAGCACCATGTGGGTTATGGCCAGCTCCTTGCTGTGCAGGGTGCATGTTCCCAGACACACCACGGCCATGTTGCGCACGGCTGGCTGGGAGTTGGCAATGCTGGGAAGAATCTGTGGGGGAATGGAGAGAGTTTAAATCACTTCAGTGGATCCAAAACATTCAGACTACTCAGAGATACGAATGTATACTGGCTGTAACTTCATATTGAGACATGCAAATGTTCAGGTAGCCCCTCCAAAAGTGACTGATTTTTACTGATTGTTGAACTCAAGCGAAGGTCCACTGACGCTTTTCGCCAGAGGCACATTAAAAATATATTTGGGCCCCTTTCAAAGTCAGCACTATACAGACTTTCTTATAACACAAACTGTTTGTGTTTTGTATTATCGATCCAGAAATGTTTAGTCACTCTGCAAAGCTGATGAAATATTCTTCAGACTGCCTGGCCTGTTCTTTTTTTAAGCAGCACAAATGTCTGAAGGCCTTGTTTTTGTTTGTGTAGTATTGACTTTTGGGTTTTGGTTGAATGGAAAGATTCTCTCTGATGGCTCCATGCAGACCGGGCTGTGGAATAAAGGTGAAACGCTCTCTCTAGTATTCTACTCGAGCTGACAGTTTTCCTCGCAACCTCGACTGCCTCAGCTTCCCTAAAGAGCTACTTTTAGCTCCAGTTGGAGCTGTTTTGATATCTTTTTATAGCCTCTCCCTGCTCACAAAGAGTGAGGTCCTCCATAGCGTGAAGGAGACAGAGTTTGTTCATCGTTATTACAATACTAAGTCACAGCCAAATACCAAACTGCTCTCCTAAGACGATGGAAGTATAGTTCAGACTTTTTACCAGCGAGGACATTAAGCCGCTTATGGTGGGACCGATTCGAGTCTTGATGTTCATCTGCTTCAGCAGCTCGGCGCACATTGTCAGACACCTCAAGAGAGTCTCTGGGTCACTCTGGAAGACAGAAAAAGACCAAGTGTTAAAGACACGTGCTCTGAATGGGGAAAAAGGTGATTGTCATGTCTCCGTCTGTACCTTCTCGGAGCGGACCTCCTTGTCTGCTGGCTGATTGCTCTCTGCCATCTCCTGGATGATTTGGTTCCGGCGGGCCTCCAGGTCCGTGATGGAGCTCTTCAGCTCTGCTGCTTGGCTGAAATCCTGCGCCACGATGCAGTCCTCCAGGGTTTGCTTAGCCTCCATGATGCGCACCTTCACCTCTGCGAGCTTTGTGGGAGGAGAGGGAGACACTTGAGGCCAACTGTGCTTCCACTGAGAGGAAAAACAGCAGCAGCTGAGGCTCGGGGCCAGGTCACAACCCTCTGATGGCCTTTACTCACGCAGCCACGGGAGACCCATCCGTAGCATGTGAACACTTGGGACAGGACGCATGATTTTAGACGTTAATCGGCCTCAAACAGAGTTCACAGAAGAGATCAAGGACGGATTAACAATCACTGAGCATGAACGCCCATTAAAAGGTTCAACGAAGCCAAAAAAAGAAGAAAACTGACAAAGCGAGAGGCGCACAGAGTGCATCTTTCACTCCACTTGTTAAAATATGTTTCGCTTCCAAATATAAACCATCTGTCAGCTGGAGGTAGAAGAGGAACGAAGAACAGAAGCGGACAGACTAAATGGGAGTATAATTAGAACAGAGACATGCGGAGGACATTTTTAAAACGACTGGGAAATGATTAGTCAGTGATGGTATTTTGAGGAATTTAGGCCGCAGTAGTTGCCTTGCACTGAATCATTATTTGTGAATTGTTTGTAGAATAAGAATATTCATTCCCCTTTTTTAAATGCTTTGTGAACAGTGCAAACATGCTCTGCTTTTATCCACCCTCAGAACAAATCGATCCGCTCAGGACCCTCTGAGAACCAGCTGGTCTGGGCCTCTTGGAATTCTATTTTAGTTTAGGTGATTGCGTCCTTTGTTTAGGACCTGAACTTTGACCCGGTTTGCCCACCTGGACCTGCTGGCGCCGGCTGGCGCTCTCATCCACTGGCTGAGCCACCTCCATGATGGGTTCCCTCACATCCGAGATGATTTCGGCCACCTGAGAGAGGGAAGCCAGCTGTGTTAAACATCAGGCCAGACGAAGCGGCGCCGCGGGGATCAAAAACGTCACGTGCCGTTTGGATGCGCCTGTGGTCGTCGGGAATGAGGAGGAGGAGCTTCTCCGTGAGCAGGGACACCAGAGAGGACGGGGTCTGCGGGAGCACCAACATCTCCTGGAGAACAGCCAGCACGCGCTTTCTGCACACACACAAATCTTTGGATTAAAAACAAACCACCCTAACAGTCGATTCACTCAACGCGCAAAGCCAGACCTGCCGCCCTCTTCGTTTGTATCAAGGCAGTGGATGAGGTGGATGAGCTGCTGCGAGATATACTCTTTGGTCATTACGATCTCCAGCTGGTTGAAGTCGGCCCTCTGTTCCTCTGACAGCACGGGCACCGCCTTAAGATAGCTGCAACGGGTCAGGGGGACAGATCAGCCACAGTAGGGTTAGGGATATCCACACGCTCTTTTTTTTTTAACCATCTCCTGTTCAGCGTTATGGCAGCAGAACTGTAGTCTGAATACTTCATGGATTAAAATCCCCCCTTATCCAATACTTCTCTTACATGTAGTAAATAATACCAAACCTGACAGGGCGATAGAGAGACCAAAGACAAAGAAACCACACTTTAAAAAAACGTAACAGATCCTTATAGAAAGACAGAGAAAAAATAAATAAATAAAAAATGTTAAAATCACCACCACTCTCCACAGCGAGCACTTACCTTCTGCAGTTGAATGAGCGCATTTTGTAAGCATCAGATTTATTTATTAATGGATTATAAACACACAAAGCCATGTGCTAAAACAGATGTGCGGAGCGCCACCAATCAAAAACAACCAAAGCACTGCACGATAGACTTACCTTTTGAGTCTGAGAAAACGAAGCTGTGCTGGGCTTCTAATGTGTGTTAAATAGATTGTTTTATTTTTTTGGGCACTGATCTTGTAAACAAAACCAAAACTAGTTTGAAGTGTAAGGCAAAAGCGCAGGAGGTACGTTAGGAGGACTACCTGAACATTAATTTTGTTGAACGAGTGCAAAGTAGCTGACCGCCGTGAACACTGTAGAGGATAATTAAAGAAAAATGGAAAGGGCCTAATTAGAATGAACTGATGTTTCTCTTCTCTGACTGCAGAGTTCTTGGGTTCATTAATAGTCTACACACAGATCTGAGGGAAAAAAACGTAGCCTTAAAATAGGAATTTCCTTTGAATGAGAATGAATCCTTAAAAAGCCGTTTACCTCTGATACGTGGCACTGCCGTTAGTTTATTCATTATTAACAAAAAAGTCAAACGTGCAGCTGACAGGGATAAACTGACATTCAAGGGATATCCTGGCATTCTCTTACCTACAGAGGTACTCAGCGTATGTGGCAGCATCCGGCAACACCTGCTCCAGCATTTCATCACCCTCATCTCCTTTAGCCTTAAAGAACTCACAAAGAGCCCTCCAATACAGCACATTTTCACAGGTCAGGGAGTCCAACGAGATTAGCTTCCTGTTTGGGAAAAAAGACAAAGACACATTTGATCTCCAGCCTCCTACATTTTACTAACCGCTGGTTGGACGGGCGAGCTTGGGAGAGTACCTGTCGCCGAACTGTTCTCTGTTCTGCGGCAGCTCCTCGGCAGGCGTCCTTTTGAAAATGGCCTTCAGCGTATCCATTGCTGTTTCTGCACAGTTCTCCACATCCAGACGGTGGAGCAGCTCGATGACGTTTCCATCCAGCCGAAGCAGCCACGCCGGCAGGAGACGACTGCAAACCAACTCTCTCACAGCCTCTGAAGAGAGAGAAGTAAGACATGAATAGAAACACTAACTTTTACAGTGTCAGAGATACCTTATTTCATTGATTGGGAGGAGGGAAAACGTTTTTTATTTCAACACATCACTGTGATAGACCCTTTTTTTCCTACAAACCATGAAAAAAAAACTCCCTGATTTCTGCTTCAAATGAGGCGTCATTCGGCTGTTAAAGCAAAGCTTCACACACAAACTAAACCATACCTGAGGTGTCCTGGAGACCCTGCTGAAGCAGGCTGACTCTCTGAGCGATAGTTAGAGCTTTAATGTGAACTTTTTCAGCAAGAACCTGAAACAGAATCATAAAAAGACAATTTGTAAAGAAAACCAGGTTTCACATCAAACCAGGGGGTCCCAGACTTCTTTAAAAAATCTACCTGGTAGGCTAACTTGCGGACGTTCTCCTTGATGTCCCGAGTGCGTTTGAGGACTTTAGGGAGGGTTCTCGGGGACATCGCTATGCAGGACAGAACAGCCCGTCGCACCTCAGCGTTGGCATCATTGTCCAGAATCAACAAGTATGCTGAAAAAATACATTTAAAAAAGCAAAGAACAGCTAAGCATGACACAGAAATTAGCAAACAAAAGCTGCCCTCAAAGATACTTGAGATTAAACAGATAATAGAAAGTATCATGGCCTCAGACTGTGCCTTTGACTTCTAATAATTCCTACATTTGAGGGTAACCAAGGAATTTAACTCAACAAACCATTGATGGTGGGGCAGTCGGGATCCTTTGGCTGCTGAAGGCGAGTCATGGCCAAAGCAGCCTGAATCCTCACGTTGGGGAATTTGTCAGTGACGCGCACCAGCATGGCTTGGTGGATGCGGTCAAAGAGATCGTCGTCGATCTGGGCATTCTCCGCCATGCTGCCCAGCAACTTGTTGATCAGCTGACACACTCGGAAGCGCACCGCATGACTGTTTGCTTTGTGAGACTGAAGAGAGACAGAGAAGGAAAAGGGGAAAAGTCAAAACAGTGACACGAGATTTGTAGAAGGAGCCAGGAAAAAATGGGGCAAAAGAGCATAATATAGTTAGTATAACAACATATACCTCTAACAGGAAGTTGAAGATGAAACTCAGAAAGGGGTGATCATCTTCATCTTCAGCTTCCTCCTCCTCCTCCTCTTGTTGCTCCTCTTCTTCTGTTTTGGGTGGAGGCTGGAAACTTGAGGCAAACTTTGCAGCAAACTCGATGACATTCTCAACGCTGGGTTCGCGTTTGTAGACGATCATTGCGTACTTTAGGTAGTGGACAAACTCCTCATGGAACAGTGTCTTGTCCTCAAGCTGAAGGATGAGATAGATTGTGTTACTGATGACGGCTGACAAGGAGTTTAAAAAAAAGAAGAAAAAACGAGGAGCGCTATTCACACAGAGGGGAACGAGACATATCAGCTCTCACATCCCATGATCAAAAACAAGATTCACAGAAATGCTTGGAAGGCTCCAACTTCTTTATATTTGTAACAGCCTTTCATAAAGTATTCTTTCTCTACAGCATTCAGTTGAAAAGTGTAAACATAGATATAAACTGATGATTCTCAATTTCAAGCTGTTTCTATATTGTGTTCTTTTTGTATAATTAGCCTTTGAATTAGTATTTTTATGAGTCTTGATTATGCATTGTTTCCCTTATGTATAGTTTCAGTAGCACATAAACAAACTAGAATCTTATGATGAGATTCATCCATTATGCTAAAAAAAAGTTTTCTGCTCCTAAAATCAAAAGGAAAGCTAAGTTCGAGATATATTGAAATTATTGGCAATCCCAGTTCACTTCTGTGCAGAAAAAGGACACATTACCTTGTTGTAGCGACTTTTGAGGCTCGCCACTAGCTTAGCCTTGTTGTTGTGGCCCCTCTGTGCTCGCTGGAATGCCTCCTTGATGTCCATTTCATTGTCAGCCGTCATATTTCCTTCACAAAAAGCAAAGCGATAGGCAGAATTACCGAAACACCCGCCGCACTATTCTCACAGTAAGGTGTTTTGGGACTCTCGCACGGCCTGTCGTCTCTGGTGTCTCGTTAGCTAACCTCCAAACCCCACAGCGACCCAACTCCCACAGAAACAAGAGCAGGAATAAAAAAAACAACACACCGAGCACTTGTAACGTCCTGGCAGCTATTCTATTGCATAATAAGTTATCAAACTATTTTGACCGTGTCGCGCGACATCGAAAACTCAAACTACTAACAGTTTTAAACTTTACCTTTTCATATGTTGTTCAATGTAGCAACTGCCGCCTGTTTTCAAATTCAACTATGGAGGTTTCTTCTTCTACTGCCGAATTCGACGGTCATAGTCAGCATTACTGCCACCTACCGGACCGAGGTGTGTAGGTGTCTTTCATTCAGTTTTAACCCTGTAATACCATATATTTCATATGACACATACGGTTTCTGTATTATTTTGCATCTTAGAGGTTTTGCATCGCTTAATGGTAAAAACATTGCTCAAAACCCTGTTTTGCACCATCAGATACACAATAACAATGGGTAGAAGACTACACGACAATGATTATTTTACGTATCGCACGGTAATATATAATAGATATTAAAATATTATTTCTGTTTAATTTTTTTGTTCAGATTTCGTTAAATGGCCAAATAAACACTTCAGACTAAGAAGAAATACATTTCTATTTTTTTCTTGGATCAGGCTTTAAATTATTATTGATCTCATTGCAAAACTTTTCCTCTTGGCTTGTCCAAACAAACATGAAACAAAAGGTGGATCTGTGGTTTGACAGTTGCAGGCTATTTGCAGAGGGGCTAAAAACCTACTGACTTGTTCTATTAACTGTGAAAATTAAAGTTAAATGTTGATTTCCCCCCCCCCAAACAATCACCCGCCCTTACTCCTGCATGTGAGACTTGGTCTACTCCACCAGTGTTTGGGTATTCTTCTCATTCACAAGAATTCTTTAAGAATTCTTTTTACCTCTAGATTGCTAAGTGGAATGTGAAATAATATCCTTTCCTCCCTCCTTTTTTCTTAAAAGATGCATAAACCTCAGACTGGCCATCGCATCTCACTCAAGCAATTTGCACACAGTGTGCATCCAGTGTGTCGAGTGTTGTGGCATCCAGAGTCACAGCTGCCCGGACAGCTGTGCAGTCGGGACAGCTCACCCGTGGGAAGGGTGAGAACAAGCTTCTCCTTAGGCAGACAGAGTCCCTCATTTCACAGTAGCTATTTCTGGAAATTGCTTTCAAATACATGACACTGCATCTGGCTTTTTGCTGGACCTACATGTGGGGATTATCATGTAGGTGTGTTCATACTACAGCTGGATCAAAGATCTGCCTGAGAGTGTGTAATACAGTATATGACTCAAGAAAAGTGAAGGGAAAGAGCCAAAGAAAAATAACTTTGAGTTCTTCTGTGAAATACTGATGTCTAAAATGTCACATCTAAAGACTTTACGCTGTTGGACCTGATACCAGCCTTAATGTCTGGCAGGTATCTCTTTGTAAATTCTCCTCAGACTCATGCTGAAATCTAGGCAAATGCCCAGGTTTCCTTCGTGCTGGTCCTGTGCTTCCTTATTCAGTCTGTCCGTTGCCATTAGCCAGGTGGAGAGACTGAACTGGAGCAAAACGGCAGGTCCAGATGGCGTTAGCCCCGGGGTGCTAAAGCGTGTGCAGAACAGCTATGTGGAATGCTACGTCATCTCTTCAAACTTAGCCCGTGTCAGGAGAAAGTTAAAATGTGGAAAACATCCTGCTTTGTTCTGGTATCTAAATTCTCATCCATGCACCGTTAGTGACTTTAAGGAAAGGTTGTTCTAATATGATGAAAGTTCAGTTAGTTACTTCAGTAAGAAAGTAATCCCCTGCAGGAAATGCTACAGTTTTTTTTGGTCATTTTGGATTAAAAGATACCATCATATATCTGTTTGACCAAGGTCAAGCATCTAAGAAGGAGGATTGTGAGGATAGCAGTGGTTTTCTCTGGATTCCACCTCAGACTTCTAGGAGAACACATCTCATCTCTAGAATAATGTAGGATAGCTGAAGACAGGGAGCTGGTCAGCTTCTTTTTTGCGTGGTGTGCGAGCAATCTCACACTCTAGCTGAATAAAAACCAGCTAAATGGGATGATTATGGATTTTTATTCATGCTGCAAGATCATTTCTCATTTTGGGATGCATAGACTATCACCTGACAGGTAAATGGTACCCCTATTGTCAGATGTCTACATTTCCTGCAGTTTGAATGTGGACCGTTGGTGTGGCTTCCTTTTTTTAGGCATGAAGTTCCATGAACAAAGTGGGTTAAAAAAACAACAATTACAAAACAGTAACAATTTAGAAAGCACAAGGATATTCCAAGTTTACAGTTGGAGAGGCCACAATAAACACATTATAAAAACAGGAAACACAAGAAAGCCACAAGCACACAAACCTTTAAAAAAAAAAAACACATTTCACAAAAGGAAGTTTAAAAAAACCCCAAACAAAACAAAGTTGCACAATTTAAGTACATTAAAAAGCAGCTCAGAGAACAGAACCCTTCTAAATACCCACACTATAAAAACATCAAATAGCACATTGTGTTATCCTCTTTTTTGTTTAGTTATCATTCTAGTCATATTCAGTGAAAAGAAAAGTGAGTGTTACTTCTGATAAACAAGTGACAATGCGTTCTTTTCCCCTTTCAATCCATTTTTGTTTAGCGGAGTTGTTTTTTTCGCCCGATATGATCTATCGGTGTTTTTCACCTCGGGGCCACCGTACCCTGAAGATGTGCTCAATAGACTCACAGTGGGATGTGTGTTTTTGCCCTGGGCCTACGGCTTCTGCAACAAACAGAAAAAAAAACACCCACTGCGTGTCCGTGTGCTTGTGTATCTGAGTGATCGCGGTGGACCCCCGGGACCACCTCCCTCTCCCTCCCTCCCCCCCTCCCTCCCTTCGCGATCGGCATCGATACGGCAGCGCCGGGAGGGAGGGGCGGGCACTGCAGCAGTGCGCCTCTCGAGCTGTCTCCGGTAATGTTCCACAGATACACACGCCCCTCTCCGCCCCTGCCGCGAGACAGGTGGTTGGACCGTGCGCCTTCATCCCCGCGCGCTCCCTATTAGAATAACGAGGGGGGGGAAAGACATTTATATATACATAGGCCTATCTGTTGACAGCAAGGGGGGGAAAAGGGTCGGCCGGCGCGAGCGCGTCCCCGATGGACTTCCAGCGTGTGACCTCCTCGGCCAACACCGGGCGGACGGCGGGAGAGGGGGGCAGCAGCCCGAGCGATCCCCGGCCCAAATGTTTCGCGGCGGATTCCTGGAGATGCCGCTGACGGGGGAGCGCGTGCGGGCAGCGGAATGAGATGCGCCGGTAGCGGGTCGACGCTGTTTCGGTGGGGAATCCTTATCCGTGTGTTTGCTGACAATCCACCCTTTCTGGGGAAGTTTCCCCCCGGGAGTGGGCTTTCGTTATGGCTTCGGGCGCCGGCAAGGCTGCACAGCCCCCCGGGCAGGGCTCCGCCGTGAACGGGACCACTGCGGCAGAGTTCTCCAATATCGAGCAGGAGCTGTACGACTACCAGATGCACAGCAAGATGTGCAAGAAGATCGCCCAGCTCACCAAGGTAAGCCAGAGAGACCGCTGATCTGATGGCCGCCTGCCCGTCTGCCATCAAACGTCCACCCATGGTCACCGAGAGAAACAAACGCTAATGTTGATCGACCCCATGGGGGAGATGAGATATAAGATAAAAACGCTTCAGAGGCTTTTGTAATGTCAAGGTGTGTTTTTTTTATTCATGTGAAATCCCTTCATCTGGGGGAATAACGATTTGGAAACTTGGATCAGGTTCACGCGTCTTCGTGACTGACGGTAATCTGACATACTGTAGATCAGTATAGGGAGAGCTGGAGGTGTAGCAGGCTGCAGATCTCCTGACGCGATCATCGATCAATCTGTGGATCATCTTGACCGTGCAGAGGCTTCCAGGTGGCGGACTGAAAACGTCTTGCTCAGCTGGAAAATAAAAAGGCGTTCCAAGGAACGCAAAGGATAAGGGAGATAAATCATATCAATAAAAAAAACAACAACAGCCCTTTGTCACTTTTGTTAGACTCTAAGCAACTCCAGTCTCAGTTCAGATCAGTGCACTGGGAAAATAAGAGAACGACCACACGTCTTGCTGCTTATCTTTCTCCGTGTGTCCGTTTTGAGGCAGGGCTGCAGCAGCAGCCGCCAACTTGGGGCTGTGGGTACTTCAGAGCTTCTCCGTGTCGGGACTCTCCTCTGTGCTCCGGGATAATGCTTACAGAGGCAGGGCATGACCCCGCCGCTGACCGTTTTCTGATGACTGCGCACTTCCCTGGCGGGTATACAGGCTGCCTACACCTCTGTGTGGCCGGTCAGAGGACGTGCGTGTCGGTGCTCGTCCCTGACCTTCAGACCCATCTTGAAACTTTACGCACGGCCACCCTGGAGCCCGCTTTAGCCGCGGCCCCCCCCCCCCCCCCCCAAAACCGTGGGGAGAGAAAGTGTCTGATTTGGGGGGGGGGCTAGGGGATGCTTGGCCGAGAAGGGGAGGTTTTTTCGGGGTTTTTGGGGGAGGGGGGGGGGGGAGAGAGGACGCGGGAAAAACGGGTCAGCCTCTGTAACCTTATATATTTAATAACCTCTCCTCTGTGTGCGCACGCATGCGTTCCAAGCGCCACCCCACACACACAAACACACACACACACGTCTCCTGGCGTTTGCGCCACCGTCCATCCTCCCTCATGCTCGGCTGAGTTACGCAGCTCCCTCCCCACCCTTCCTGTCCACCCCCCTCCTCATCCTCATCCAC